GAGGCATTCGGCAAGAAGGGGAGTGGGATGTGTGTGAGATCCCACTGCGGAAGCCGGCTCTGCTCCGTACTCTGCGTGCGGGGTGCCTGATGTTCAGACCTGCTGTGTCTATCGGGGCCATGGCGGGGTGGTGGGAGTGGGGGCAGGGAGCAGCGCGGATGGATCCAGGAAAGGACTTAGTTGAATCCCAGCTGCCCACATACCTGTTGCTGGTCTTGGACAAGGTCCCTAGTTTCTCTGGGCTTTCGGTTTGATTGTAAGACTAGGACGCCGCCCCAGTCTGAAGATGTCGGTGTGTGCGGGAATGCCTGGCGCAGTCACCATGGGTTTTCCTTCAGCCTCCTCCGTGCCCCTCCCTGGGTCAATCAGTATCCATGCGTGCCACAAGTAAATTACAGTCCCTCCGAAAAACCAGTTGACCCGAGTTTTATGGTCGAGCATGGTGAGTGTCCTTGCCAGGAAATGCCACTAGATGTCTTGGGCCTGCTCCTCTACCTCCACAGCAATCCCCGGAACAGGCTGGTTCAGGACGTGGGAGGTGGGAGTCGGTGTTGTACCTAGGACAGGCTGAAGTCAAAGGCTCATTTGCTCTGTGAGGGGTGATCAGGATGACACATCAAGTGGAGCCCCATGGCTGACCCTGGAGGTGGACGGTCGGGTCGGATTGGCGCCCTCCAGCACGTGTTTCGAGTGATGCCTTCCCTGGGTTACGCAGCCCTGATCTGTAGCGCACAACTTCCCAGCTCCAGCCAGTCTGGTCTTGCCGTCTCCTTCCAAGAAGGTAGGTGCGGCGCAGTTGCCTTTAAGCGGCTCCTTCTGGACACCGCAGGGCGGCAGCAAGCAAGTATAGGCGACTTTTTTCTTACGTTGACCAAAATACGCAGGGCCAGCTTTGCACGATCCCATTCAGCATCACACGTGTGCATCGGCCACTCACCTGTCCATCTGCCACAGACAGGCTTGGACAGGACCATTGAGTGGCCTTTACGGCAAAGAGCCTAAAGGGCTCACAGGAAACCTGGACCCAGCGCAATGGTAACAGCGCAGCAATACCTGTCATTGATCAAGGGGTATTCTGGGCCCGACATGGTGTTAAGTGATCCAGTTCGGTTAGCACTCTTAGAATTAACCCCCTTTTGCCTATCAGGAAATCGAAGACGGAGGGCATTAACGCCAGGGAGCAGGGAGTAAGGGGACACACAGAGGGGCTGAGGGGCTGGGCCTCTGAGCCCACGGATCGCCCACAGGCCCCGGCTGCACGGGCACCAGGCTGCTGCTCTGGAGGGGATGAGGAGCTCTGGGGAAAAGATGGAGCCTGACGTGGGTAAGATTTGGATATTTTCAGAAGAGATTTTCAGCCTGGAATGAGGGTGTAAGTGACTGAATCGGAGTGATGAGCCAGATAGCCCGGCTGCGGGAGCTCCCCTGTGGGGTGAGGGAGGAAGGCCTTGGGGGCGCGTGGCTGAGCAGAGGCGCTGGGTCGCCAGGAGCCGCCGCGGGTTTGGAAAGGGGGAGAAACGCAGCGCCCTGCACTGCAAGGGCACCGAGACGTGGTTGTGGTTCTTCCTGACCGTGACAGGCACAAATGGTGCTGATGGTGGAATGCACGGAGTCTGCCTTCAGAGAACTCCTGCTGTCTTTTAAAACCTGGGCCTCTTATTTAAACTTGGTGGCCTCAAGTGAATGGTCAGAAACAGTTTCTGATGAGGTTGCAGAGATTGTGCATGGCCTCTGATTGTGCACAGCCTGTGATTGTGTATAGTCTCTGATTGTGGCCTCTGATTGTGTGGGTCTCTGTGTGTGGTCTCTGATTGTGTGTGGTCTCTGTGCAGCCTCTGATTGTGTGTGGTCTCTGATTGTGCGCGGTCTCTGATTGTGTGCGGCCTCTGATTGTGGGTTGTGTGAGTTTCCCGGGATTAAGTAGATGAGCCTCGTGCTGGGGCAGGTGTGCCTTGTGTTGGGCATGTGGATAAAGAAGTTTAACCCATCCCCTCTTTGAGAATGGCAGGGCAGTAACAAAGGTGGTTGATTTATACATGGCCATCCTCGTGAGGTGAGGACCTGAAAGGTTTACTGCTTTCCCGGAAAGCTGCTCTGGGCGTCACCATCACTGATCATGGACAGCAGCTCAGAAGCCCCCTTAAGGTGCAGGGAGGGACCGGCGCTGGTCCTGTCTGTGCCCAGGCTGCTGGTCACCCTGACGGCCAGGGATGGCTGCCTTGCACGAAGCTGGGTCAGAGTGAATTTGGGCAGTGTCGGCTTTGATTTAGGTCAAGACTGATCAGTCTTCCTAAAATACTAGCCATGAAAGCTTTCATAGATTGTAGTTCTTTGGGAGATTTATATGTGGTTTTTAAAGCACAGGGCCCATGGCCAGTGTTGAATTACATTTTGTTCAGTGTAACTGACAGGACACTGGACCTGAGTCTCAGGCCTGCCACAGGGTTCAGGGAGCTTCAGAGAGGGAGATGTTTGTGCTCAAGTTTTCACGATGGGATGGGACATGGGCATGGGGCTGGAATGCTCTAACCTTCAATCTTCAGTCATCGGTATCACCTGTGCACACGCATATCGTTTTCAAAGATGGACGAGCTTTTGGGAAATATCTGAAGACTTTTCCAGTTTTGAAAGAAGCCGGGATGACACTGGAAACGTCAGGTGTCTTGGCTGCTGATCAGGTCCATCACACGCCATGGTCCCTAACCTGGCCACCTCTGATCGCACAGTGGTGACAGTCCTAACCTAACTCTGATGCCAGCGGTGACAGGTCTAACCTCATAACAGCATCTGCATCTGACAGCGGTGACAGGTCCATAACCTCACACTTCTGTGCACAGCAGGTGACAGGTCCCTAACTCAAAAGCTTCTGATTGGGTGCAGCTGGTGACAGGTCTGTAACTCGCTGGCTCTGATTGTGCAGAGCTGGTGACCAGGTCACTAACCACCCACACCTCTATTCATACCCAGCGAGTGACCGGGTCCATCACCTCACACCTCTGATTGTGCATAGTGGGTGACCAGGTCTGGAACCTTGCACACCTCTGATCGTGCACAACGGGCGACTAGGTCCATGACCTCACGCCTCTCTGCACAGTTGGTGACCAGGTCCGTAACCTCACACCTCTGATCGTGCACAGCTGGTGGGCGCAGGACCCACTTCAGTGAGGGGCTGACTTCCCAGGTGTGAAGGGGGAATGCTGTGTGGCTCGCTAAGCCCCTCCATGCTTTGGGGGCTCCAGGCTGTGGGCAGCAAGTAGGAGGTTGTCCCAGGAGGATGCTGTGTGTTGGGGATGGGAGGCAGCTGCAGGGTGGAAGTAGGATGATGTTGTAGGGGGCCACTGTGGGGGGGTGGGACGGGAGGCAACTGCAAGTTGGAAGTAGGATGTTGTCCCAGGAGGCTGCTGTGTGTGGGGGAGGGAGGAGGCAACTGCAGGGTGGTGTGGTGGTCCCCGTGCCACTGATTTCAGGTTAAAATAGAATGTGGACCTCTTTTTACCATAGTTTTTAATTACTCCGCTAGTTTGTGTTGCTGTCTCTTGCTATGAAGTCCACAGTCTGATGTCTCTGTGGTCCCCATGTTTCCCTTCTGCTTGTGTTACCCGATCCTGTGGGTCAGCTGTGAGGAAACCACTCTCACTCATCTGGAGTGGCCTCGAGCTGGGTGTGCTGGTCTCCTTGTGGGCTAAAGTGTTCTTCTGTTACTGTTTTCTCTGTTTTTGACCAAATTTAGCAGACTTGTGTATGATGCAAACACTTTAAAAATGTCTTTTGCCTTTATGAAAAAACACCTGCATTGCTTTAAAATGAACCTTTCCTGTGTCTCTATCCTTCCTCATAGATTGCTCTGTGTTAGAAACTCGGTGGTGTGTGTGCTTCATGGCCTCATTCCATCAAGCACTGTAACCTCTGATTGCAAAAGTGACTGCACTCAAGGCAAAAAACTTTGCAAATGTTGAAAAAATGACAAAAACAATATATTGTTCTCTTGTCATCCTGAAATGGCTACTCTTAATATTTTCATGTAGTTCTTTCCATTCTTTTTAAGTAAAGTTGCTTCTAACACAAGCACTTTGATTATATTCATCAAATTATATTCAGGAAATAAGGAGAAAGTAAAAAGAATATCCAGTTTGGGGCAAAAAGGAAGACGACATAGAAAGAGGCTGTAAAACTCCCTGCAACTTGAAAAGCTGGGTTGTGGTGGTGTGGTTTTGTTTTTACTGTGAGAGACCACAGGATTCTTCTTGGCACTGAAGGGCAATAAATAATACCCTGTGTGTGTCTGGTGGCGTATAAACCGAGCCACATGTCCTCTTTCGAAGCAGAGAAAGCATGAGGTTGAGGTAGTGGTTCGGTAACTTTTGAAAGTCTGTTTGTAGGACTGCACTGCAGAGATTAGGTCAGTCTGAGTAGATTCAATGATCTGTTCAGGCCTTGGGAGCTTTCTACACCGGGTGTACGCCTGTTCTGGATGTGGTGTAGAAGGAACAGGATTGGGAGGGTTTCTTGCTTCCCAGTCATAGAAATGCCTGCAATTATCACTGTTTGTTGTTTCGGGAAGCTATTTCAGGAAGGAGTGTCCGTTCCAAGGCTGCTGGTTGGCCTGTCATCACCCTGGGGGTCTTGGTGTGGGTCACGGGAGCCGTGACTGCTCACGAGTGGAGCTCTGTCTCTCTCGCTGCCGGCCGGTAGACAGCTAGTCACCAACAAGTGTGTGTCCCAGTGGCCTTTGAGAAGAATTCTCTGCATCATTTGTATACAAGGTCCTTTTTCCTTTCAATGTCAACATCGTGTCTTCTAGCCAAGCGATATGTTCTTGCAGAAACAGGAAGTGTGGCCCAAGTGAGAAATGAGGGAATTGATCCATAACTGCTATCAGTTTTTATATAGTTGAGCCATTGTAATTTATACATAAACATGTTAAATCTGTAGAAGTGAGTCACGGTGCCAGACCCTCACAAATGCCGAATGTCTACGTGGGACCTCTCTTCTTCGGTCCACATCACAAGAAGAAAAGTCGCTCAAATGCAGCACGGAGTGGACGTGAATCTCCGAAAACTCCATGAATCAGAGCGACTGCTTTCCCAATTGCCGGTCTCCCCATTTGAGGTTGTGAGATTCCCGTTCTGAAGCTCCTTCAATTTCCCAGCATCCATTTCACTCCTTCATGGAGATAACAGACTCACACTGATACCTTGTTCTCAGATTTTCTAATTAGAAAAAGCACATATTTCACAAGAATTGTCCAGCTAACTCACTCCTTAGCCTGGGGTAAGCCACATACCGCTTTTCTCTTTAAAATACTCACCTTTCAGAACTCTTGGTAAATTATTTAAGAATAGGAAGGTACCATGACTTTGGCCACGAGCAGTATTATGTATAATGTGCAAGTGAATGCCTTGAGAGCCATGGTTGCTAAAAACAAATTTTCTCAGAAGAGAAAAATGTAAGCAGTTCTTTACATGATCGTTAATTTTGTTTTGCCTAAATAACATCTTGTCTTTGTACAGGGATACAGGATGTTGCTGAGTATTTACGGGGGCGAGTGGGTCCTGCTGCCCCACTATGTGATCCTGAATATCGACAGGGGTGAGTGGGTCCTGCTGCCCCACTGTGTGTGACAAGCCCTTTGTTTCTGGCCCGGAAATGTGCCGGCTCCGTCAGTGCATTGGGCTGGTGTTGGCTCCCTTTGTTAGTTTGCATGCGAGGCAAAATCTCACGCCTTTCACTCTTGTTGACATACAGATGCCAAAGCTTTGAACAAATTCTTACTAAATCAAACCCAGAAATATGTAAAAGGGATAAGAATACCATGAACACTTAGAGTTTGTTCTCATGATGTGTAGTTTTGCATTGCACATTTGGCTCATCATTCAAAAATCAATGTAATTCACCACATTAACAAAAAAGCAGAAAACCCATTATTTTATCCTCTCGGTAGACACTGGAAAACATCTGTTGAAATTTAATAGTCCTTATACGAATTTCCTATCACATCAGGAACAGAAGGGAACTTTCTCCGTTTGATAAAGGCCACTCTTGAGAAACAAGAGCTGACCCCCCTCCTCGGTGGTGGCAGCCGGGGAGCTCTGCCCACAGTCAGGGGTGTCGGGAGCATGGCCATTCTCCGTGCTTCAGGTTCGCATGGTGCGCACTGGGGCCCTCGTCTGTGAAGTGAGTCAGGAGAACTAAGAGGCATAAAGACTTGGAAGCAGGGAGATGCTTGATGTACAGAAGACACAGGGCCTTATTTAGAACATTTTAGGAAATGTACAAACAACCAGAAATGATGTGAATTTTGCAAGCATGCAAGATGGACTCTTCGCAACAGATGTATACAGATGCCCGGTGGCCCATGAGAGGTGCTCACCAGGGAGTCATTGAGTAAGTACAACTTAAACCCACGAGGTTCCCCTTCACAAGAGTGGAGAAGGGAGGACAGTAGCAGGTGTTGGTGAAGATATGACAGACTGGATCTCAGACTGAAGGAGACTTAAAATGGCACAGCCACTTCAGCAAACTATGGCAGTTTCTTTAAAATGTGTACACTTACCATATGGCCCAGCAGGTATGCTGTAGACGTTCACCAAGGAGAGCTGAAAATGTGTGTCCTTGTAAAAGAATGCACATTATCTCCAGAGTAAATTGTCATAGCCAAGAACTGGAAACAACATAATTCTCTCTCATCTGGAGAAACATGAGCAAATTCTGATATGTTCATACATTGTCCTAGTTCCCAGCAGGAAAAACGTACAAAATACTGAAACCAAAACAGACAACGGGGATGAGTTCCAGGTGCCTTGAACTGAGCAGAGAGTGAACACCACGCCGTGGAGTCCATGTGACAATGGAGAATCTATGCGAGTCTCGGGTGACGGAAGAGCGCCAAGAACACTCCTCGAGAATGAACAGTGGCTGTCTCTTGAGGGCTGGATTGAGGGGGGACTTGTGGGAACTTGATGCAAAAGATTTGATTAGGGTAATAGATTTCCATTTATCGAAATGTGCCAAGTGTACTCAAGATCTGAACATTTCACTGTGTATACTTTGTACTCCCTACCTTCCAAAAAAACAATGAAAAAAATAATTACAAATGAGCACTGAAGTCGATCGATTTTTCACAGTGGTATTAGATAGCAATTCTGAAAGCATTTCTTTATCTCCAGGCTTAAGCAAATAAGCTTAATAAATCAGTGAATATATTGAGTGCTACAGGTGCCAGGTTTCTTTCTTGGTAAGAGGTAGAAATAAGAAAAGGCCAAAGCCTGGAATGGATCACGTGGGATTAGGTTGCAGCAGGAGGTACAAGTATAAGCTGGTGGCTCCCGACAGATGTAGACAGGGATAGAAGTGCCTGTGGATGGGTGTGGGTGCACATGCGTGTACATGCGTGTGTGTGTTCTACTTGCCGGCAATGCCCAGCAGCACCCGGTGCCCACTCTTAGCTTCCAAACACCATTCTTCACTAGAAGGAGCCCTGGCCTAAGGGCTGGGGAATCTGGTGTCAAATCTGGGACCAGTTGAGCAACAGAACAAACCATTGTAACTATGAATCATAACCCACCAAGCCAGACTCCGTGAGTACATATGGACATATGTAAATGAATGCTGAAAGATAAAATTATTTTTCAGTGAATATGGAAGATCTAATGATTTAGAAGGAATGACAGGAAATCAGTGGTTGCTAAAACTAGTAGTGAAGAATTCATGGACAACAGAATATGCACATAGTGTCAGGGTGTCTCCTCCCAAATCTTAATTTCAACGCGAGAAGTAGCATCTTTGCTTTGGAGGCACTTAAGCACTTTCACTGAGTTGCCGATGTTAACATTGTCACACAGGACAGACTTCTGCGGTGTCCCGGGTAAAATGCATACTCTTGAGTCTAGTCCGGAAGATAGCAAAATAAAGGACAAACTGTAAAATAACTGACCTGTATTCTTTCACATTTCCAATTTCAAGAAACACAAAAGCTGAGAAACTTGGATGCTGGACGGGTAAAAATCACATGACAATTCATGATCCTGGATTGGATCGTAAAAGAGGAAGACAAAGTAAGAAAATTATGGAGACAGTTGACAGCATTTGAAAGTGAACTTTGTATATGACAGTTAAATTTCCCGATCTTGAGGAAAATGAATGTGAGAGCATATCCTTGTGTTTAGGAAATACATTGAAACATTTAGGTATGGAGGGGACATAGTATCTGATACTTATTTTCATTTGACTTAGAAAATTCATGGGGGAGGGGGGAAAGCAGTGATGTAAGATAGGAGCAGTTGGGCCTAAGTTGAGCCTGGTAAGTTATGTGGGAATTCACTACGCTGGTCTTGCAGATTTTCTGTCTTTGAAATTACATTCAAAAAGTTTAAAACGGAGAATACGCAAAACAAAAAGCGATTTGTGCAAGTGAGTGGACTGTCACCTCATTGATCCCTTCAGTTTTTGGCCATGAGCCAAATCAGTCACACAGTGGTTTTTGACCTGGGAATTAGAAATAGTGGCCAGATGACCAGGCTCTTTATCTAGTTAGGGAAAGAAGTGTGCACAAAGGCTGACCAAGACCAAGCAGTGTGATGAGCTGCTTGTGGGCGTGATGCTGAGGGTCTGGGTCCTGTCTCAGGTGGCAGCTTGGGGGGTTTAAGCCAGAAAGCCACGTCCGATTCCCTTTCAGTGGGATCATTCTCGCAGCTTCAGAGAAAACTGCCCCAACCCGTCTTCACTCACGCTGGCCATTTTTGGTGGTGGTGGTTTTATTCTGCTAACACCGTTCTCACTGACAGTTTAGGGCCTTTGAGCGGATTTTTGCCTGTGTCTCGAAGATTCTCATCTTGACAGCCGGTATGTTTCATTCCTGTTGTTCTGATTCTGTGTTAAGAGGGTTCTTCCCTGGCTTCACAGTTTGGAGTTGCTGCTGCATCTGTCTCTGCTTTAATTCTCTACCCATCTATCACTTGTCTCATCCCTTAAAAGTGGCCTGCGTGAGATGCCATGAGACTGTCTGCCTTATCACCACTGCGACCCCAGCCCATAGGGACTTACAGAGAAGGCATGCAGTGAATGTGTGGAATTAATGTAATGGGTTAATAGCCACAAAATGTCTTAATGGTTGTTTTAGTCCATTTCCATGCTGCTGATAAAGACATACCCGAAACTGGGAAGAAAAAGATTTAGTTGGCCTTGCAGTTCCGCATGGCTGGGGAGGCCTCAGAATCATGGTGGGAGGCGAAAGGCACTTCTTACATGTCAGCGGCAAGAGAAAACGAGGTAGAAGCAAAAGCGGAAACCCCGATAAACCATCAGATCTCATGAGACTTATTCACTATCACGAGAATAGCACAGGAAAGACGGGACCCAATGATTCAGTTACCTCTCCCTAAGTCCCTCCCACAACACATGGGGATTCTGGGATGTAGAATTCAAGTTGAGATTTGGGTGGGGACACAGCCCAGCCATATCCATAGCCAACACAGTCCTGGCCCATGGCTGGTGTTCAGCTGAGCTGCGACCGTGGCTGTGTGAGTTGGGGTGCAAGGCGTGCACACGCCTCTCAGCGGTACAGTGAAAGGATTTGGAGGCTCAAACGTGTGACCTACAAAGAATCTCCAAAGATCAAGGTTCATTCACCCTAAAAAGAAAAATCTCAGTGCAGTTTACACCCAGTGTTTGCTTGCGGATATGGATTCTAAAGTATTAAAATGAAAAAGTCTGTGAATAAATTTTAATGTCTTTACTGGAACTGTAACCACTGATTTTCTTTCCTCACCCACCCATCTGTTGGTGAGTTTCAGAAGGTGGATGAACCGTGCTGCGGGGACAGAGAGGAGGGTGCAGCTTGGCCTCTGGGACCTCAGCTGAGCACTGACTGAGCTCTCTCCGTTTCAGACGTCCACACGGAAGCTGTCCAGGCGGCTCCAGACACAAAGAGCAGAAGATGGCGGTGCCTATGCCTTCCAAACGCAGGTCCCTGGTCGTGCAGACCTCCATGGACGCCTACACCCCTCCAGGTAAGGGACATGCTCCCCGACGCTGCCTCCTGAACATGCTGGGTGCCTCAGAATTGACCACTAGCCCAGTAGTCGGGTTTCTGCCTTCAAAGTCATGGTGCAGAAATGCAGATTTTGTGAACCAGAAGTCCGAAAACAGTGTATGAAAAGTAACATTATGTATCTGTATAAATACACATTTTTAAGTTTTCCTCAAGATTCATACATACGATACATACCAGTAAAATCTCACACAGTTTTATTCATTTAATTCCTTGTAGGGAAAAGGGAAGAGTTCGTAACCCTCTGGGTGGAATTGGACTTTTCTTCTGATTAGGCTGGTGCATGCGTGTTCTCATATCTTCAGATAAGTGTGCTATATTGTTGGATTGTTTTAGAACAAGTGAATTGGACAGTTTCGGCAGCTACCCGAATCAGGTCATAAGCTTTGCCTGCAAGGTGCCAGCTAGTATTTTAGTTCCTGCAGGCCATAAAGTCTCTCACAACCACTCAACTGTGCCCTCAGCCATGGGTGATAGCAAATGCGTATGGCTGTGTACCCAGAAAACTTTATTTACAAGAACAACGGACCAGATTTGGTGCACGGACCTGCCAACCCCTGATCTAAATTACTGAAGGTAATAGCCAATTTATATTTCTGCTATATAATACTGCTTTTCTTTAATCTTGAATTTTATGTAACTACCCCAATTCTCTCTTTTCTCTGCCCAAATAATTATAAACTACATTTCATGATCTTCACACCCAAGTAAAGCAGAAAGTTTAGTTATCCAGATACTTGTTAGAGACACGGATTGAACCTATGCTATTTGGTGTTTAGTTTCTGTGATTTTGATTCCAACATTATTCATGCCGTTGTTGCAAGCTTGTCTTTCAAAGGACCTGAATCACCTTACATCCCACGTTGAAGCTACATATACAATATTTGGGGGAGTATTTTTACTTCTGAAGTTTAGCTTAGTCTCGGCAAGCAGTGAGACAGAAGGACGTGCTTCAGATCAGAGCTTAGGTCAAGTGTATGTCCACATGACGGCAAGCAGCTCCTGAGTTTCACCTTTACATACCTTTACAAATGAAGGTACTGGAATTTAAGGACAGAACTTAGAGTGCATCACTTTGGGTTTTCGTTGCTTTTTGTTTTGAGACAAGGTCTTGCTCTGTCACCAAGGTTGGAATTCAGCATCATGATGGCAGCTCTTGGCTCACTGCAGCTGCGGCCACCTGGGCTCATGCGGTCCTTCCACTTCAACCTCAGGCAGCTGGGACCACAGGTGCTCGCCACCACACCCAACTAATTTTTAAGTGTTTGTAGAGACAGGGTGTTCCTATGTTGTTTTTGTTTTTCATTGACACATGACGTGTTCTTCATCTAAAGAACGCAGTGCCAGCCAGGCAAGGGAGTGAATGCCGTGCTAGCAAGTTGTTGACAAGGGAGCCCTTTCTGCCAACGTGCTCCCTTGGGCTCCTCCATTTCCTTATTTTAATATGAAGCCACAGCACATAATTAAGGGCTGGGCACGATAGCTCATGCCTATAGCTCCAGTAATTTGGGAGTCCAGGCCAAGTGTATGGCTTGAGCCCAAGGGTTCAAGGCCAACCTGGACAACATGGCAAACTGTACAGAAATGCCTTTTGTACATCTTGTCTTCACCAAAAGTACAAAAAAATCAACTGAGCCTGGTGGTGTGCACCTGTAGTCTCAGCTACTTGGGAGGCTGAGGTGGGAGAATCACTTGAGCCCGGGAGGCAGAGGTTGCTGTCAGCTGAGATGGCACCACTGCACTCCAGCCGGGGCAACAGAGCAAGACCCCCATCTCGATTAGAAAAAAAATAACGATAATAAATACAGACTCTTTAGAAATGATTAGGCCAGGCATGGTGGCTCATGCCTCTAACCTCAGCAGTTTGGGAAGCCAAGGCAGGCAGATTGCTTGTGTCCCAGCATTTGAGACTAGCCTGGGCAACATTCCAAAGCCCATCCCTACAAAACGTACAGAAATCAGCCAGGCATGGTGGTGTGTGCCTGTGGTCCCAGCTGCTCGGGAGGCTGGGATGGGAGAATCACCTGGGCTGGGGGAGGTTGAGGCTGCAGGGAGCCATGATCGTGCCACTGCACTCCAGCCTGGGCAACAGAGCTAGACCCTATCTCAAAAAATAAAATGCTTAATCCTGTTTCTTTAGTTTATAATTTGCAAAAACTTATGGAAAAAAAATTGCATTTGTATGTGTTCTTTGTGTAACTAACAACATGGACGTAAAAGGATAACCCACTTGAAATATTTTAAACCAAATTTTTGGCACTAACCAGTATGTAAGGCAACAGGCATTTTTCTTGACCACTTTTTATAAGAGAAATGACTTTGAAATGGAAGAAGCATTGCGGTTATTTGCTTATTTCTCGTATTGAATCCAACCGCTGAGAAATGTTACTGGGTCATGCATGATGAATAACTTAATTGTCTGCAAAATATAAAAGAATATTTGAATTGTTATTTTTGTGAAATGTTTGATTTGACTAACATTTTAATATAAACCATAAAGCATCCTTTGTAAATTTTCATCAGGAGTCCTCTTGATATCACATGGGGCAGTTTTGTAAAATCATAAATGTCAATATCATAAAATTTTTTTACTCCCAGCCTATTTTGTGCTTAGCGATAGTTTGCATGTTTATTACCGTAGTTACTAGGTCCAAATCTTAGCTGCATTTTCTTACCTAGTTTTCTTGGTTGCTGGTAACAGTGGTTAGATCTTACTCAGTTTCATTGCCCTTCAGAGAATGTTCTTGAAGTTTATCTTCTATGAAATGACTGGCTGCTGACCTGGCTTGTAGTTTCTGGAGAAACACTCATTAGGATTGTGGCAACACTAATATTCTATGGGTGAAACTTTCCTTTAGTTTTCACATGTAAAGATATAGGAATAATTTGCCAAAACTTGTTCTAGCCATGATGAGGGAACAGGGACCGAAGTCACACATCTGCCATAAACAACTGTAAAGCTGCATAAAACGAATGAGGTGGCTGTTTTTAGTCTGTGACCACAGCTGTGCCAGCCAGAACCTGAGGGCAAGGGCAGGAGAATGAATGAGACGCACCCACAGTACACTTGTCCTCTGGAGTACACCTGCAGATCGTGGCACCGAGAGCTCAGGTGTGGGCGGAGCATGGCCATCCTACCAGGTCCAGGAGGGGGAGATTGGAGTGGGTGCAGGATTGGAGCTCTCCACAGATTCACACCAACAGCGAATCCAACCAAGCCTGCCCATGTCACGATGACCCAGCAGTGCCTGTGCTAGCTGCTAGAACAGGAGCTGCAAAGCTTCAGAGGAAGGTTAGGGATCCTGAGTGTGCTCAACAAGTTACCCACAATGTGTAATATTCAGCAAATCATCACTGCATACACAGAGAAACAGGAGGTAGAATCTGTGGTCAAGAAAAAGGCAGTAAAATAGCGCACACACATGCAGGGTGGTCTCTGTCACTCACCACATGCGGCGGCTGAGCACATGAAGTGGAAAGACATGCCAGTTACTATAAAAAATAGAAAATACTGTATTTGTGTATATATGTATATTATATATATATAGATATAGATAGATTTTTTTTTTTTTTGAGACGGAGTCTTGCTCTTTCGCCCAGGCTGGAGGGCAGTGGCGTGATCTTGGCTCACTGCAAGCTCCGCCTCCCGCGTTCATGTCATTCTCCTGCCTCAGCTTCCCAAGTAGCTGGGATTACATGCACCCGCCACAACGTCTGGCTAACTTTTTGTATTTTTAGTAGAGATGGGGTTTCACCGTGTTAGCCAGGATGGTCTCGATCTCCTGATCTCGTGATCCACCCGCCTCGGCCTCCCAAAGTGCTGGGATTACAGACTTGAGCCACCGCATCCGGCCTATTTGTATTTCTTATCGAAAGTATAGTATGAGCATTTTGAGTTAAAAATATACTAGTTTATATATTTATATGAGGCTACAAGGAAGGTTTCAAGTTCTATAACAGGACTCTCAATTCTGTTGGAAAGTGCCAGTCTACATGGCTGATACAGCAGAAAACTGAGTTTTTAAATCTATAATTATAAATATTTAGGGAATCAAAGTACAACGTGTCAGAGAATGAAAACGTTTTAATTCTTGAGCCAGAGGAAGGGCAAACACTTTTCACTATAATGGAGTTGGGGAATTTCAGGTTCCGTACACGATAATCTTGAGAATTGTCACTCCTTCCTCACAGGTAAAAATCTGAGCAAACTGAAAAATCAGCAGTTCTTAAACCTGCAAGAGACGTGAGGTCACCGGCAAGCCACTGTCCCCAGATTGGCTGGACAGGAAAGCAGATGAATCACCATACACTGGAGCACAATGCTCCAAGGAACCAACGCTGGGATTGGAAAGCCTGAACTGGAATTGACAAATTGCTGCAGTGAGCTGTGGCCACGTCTGAGAGTTAAAACCTCCAGGAGGCCTGTGCCTATGGGTCTCATGCTTTTTGTGAATTGTATCATCAGAAGCTCAACCAGGTTCTCGAAGTGTAAATATCAGAGAAAAATCCCCTCATACTTACTACAGGGGAAAGAGAAGAAGAATCATTTTTCAATAGGTGGGTGCACTCTTCACTAGGTCTACCTTCCAGAGAGACTCACCTGGTGGGATTTTATCAGAGCCTTCTGACCTGGGGGAAAGGGAAATACCCAACTCCAACCTCCAGAACTGAAAAGCAAAAAAGAACAGAGTATCCAAGCACTATGGGACTTCCACAGAGGCAGAAAATATGCATAACGGTAATACAAGGGGGAAGAAAGAGGAACAGAAGAAATATTTGTAACAGTAATAGCTGAATTTCCTCAGATTAATGCCAGACACCAAACCATAGATCCAGGAAGCTCAAACACCTAGATTCTCTAAAATATTAATATTGTAATTGTAATATGTAATATTTAAAATAGTTATAATTACAATGTAATAGTACATTTGTGATATTAAATATTACAATTACTTAAAATGCAAACTAGAAACAAATGGTTTCTAAAAACCAAGACGTGTGGATTCTAGGAAGCTGATTTCTTTTATTCTCTCTATTCTTAATTCTAAGCCTTTCAAAGAATAAAGTACTCACACATTAATAAACTACAGCAGGCGAAACAAATACAAATGAGGCCGCCCTCTGTGACACGGAAGGCCCTATGACCTATTCCACCTCTTCTAGCACCAAGTGTACGGTTTCTCTCACCCTCTCTGGACACCAACTGTGTATTCTACAACTGAATTCAGGTCTGAAATTAGGGCAGACCGCACAGGTCAAGGTCTCAGACCCATGAGACGGCCCCCGCTTCACCAATGGCAAGTTTCAGGTCTCCCTTGCTTCTGACCGACCACCTAAAAATCAGGCTTGCCATGTCCTCCTACTTAAGGTCAATAACTTGCCAGACTGGCTCATGGCACCACCTTTACCTACTGTCACCAGTTCACTATGAAGGACCTGTGAACAGCCAGATGAAGAGGTGCATTGCTCCAGGCCTGGGGGGCGGGGGCGGGTTCCAAGTGCTTCTGTCCCTGGGGAGTGGGAATGCTGCCCTCCCAGAACATCAAGGTTTTCCCCAACCTGCAAGCTCTCCAACCCCCACCATTTAGGGTTTTCTAGAGGGGTCACTATAGACATGGTTGATGACATCTTTGGCTATTGGGGATTGACTCAGCTCCAGCCCTCTCCCTCCAGGTGAGAGATTGGGTTGGAGACTGACAGCTCCAGCCCTCTAGTCCCGCCTTGGTCTTTCTGAACCCCAGACCCACCCTGAGGCTGCCTAAGGGTCCCCAGCTCCCAGGCCTGTCCTGAGTAAACAAAGGCACTCTGACACTCTAAAATTCCAAGGGTCTTAGACCCTCTGTGCCCAGAACCAGCCGAAGACCAAATAGCTACGTCTCCTTGGATGGTACAATCACAAGCTCTCATCAGCTGATGGTCCGGGACAGGTGTGCTGAGAGAGCTTTGCTGTGGCCCTGTTGCTGGGAATCTTTGTTTTCAATCCTTGCTGGGGCAACAGACGCTTTCTGGTCATTCCCCAAGCTGGCTGAATTTACAGTCTTTTCCGTTTGATTCCACTGTTCTGGCCCAGTTCTTCTGAAGCCTCTTTCAACATCGTTGCCTCACCTGGGTGCTGAGATCCTGTGGCCCTCACCCAGCAGGAGAGATGGATGCCAGGATCCGGCTACCCTACTTCCAGTTGGATTGTGAAGAAGCCAGCCCTAAGCCTGCCCTTCCTAGGTCTCTTTCATGCCAGAAATGAGACGTTTTATTTGTATTTCATTTTAGGTCGATACGAGTGACACAAATTTGAGTTGGCCAGTTCACTTGCCAGGCACCTGACTCTTCTGGATAAGAAGAGTCTGGATAAGAAACAGGCCCCACACTGCCAGGACCCCACAGGGTCTTGACAGAAAACCACAGCTCCCGCAACGACAGGAATTCTACAGATTTTCACTTAGAAGAAAATGCCACCCAGGAGTACCCACCCCGATTAATTTTCTCAAAAGTGGTTTTGCAAAGGCTCAGAAGAAAAGTCAGGACACAGGGCGCCAGCCAGCCCCACCTTCCCAAAATCACTTGCCCCGGGGCCACCCACCTGCAATCAAACTGTTAGAGATGGGTTTTTCTTCTCAGCTGTTACCAGAGCAAATATTCCTGGAGAAGCATGCATTCGAGTAGGGTGCCTCTCTACAGAGGTCCTGGAGAGTGAGGCTTCAGCAAGTCACTGGCCAGGGACCCCGGGAACTTCACAGTTGGGGGGCTGGAGGGTAGAGGGGGCAGAACCCTAACGGTGGGTGAGTTGAAAATGGGAGAGCATTCTTCACCTCAGAGTCTCCTGGGGCCTTTCCCTTCAGGAACTGAAGGGGTGAGGAGGGCTGTGCAGTCTGACAGGTGATACCTGGGCTTTGAGAGCCGACGCATCTGTCCCCAGAGCTGGGCAGCCGCCTGCCCAACCCACCCTGTAATAACTGGAGTCCTTTGTCCCCACCCAGCGCCAGTCTGGGAGTCTGGTGCACACTGTACTTGATCGACCCATCCCATACATGAAGTGCTGATGTCACTTTCGTACTTCAACTGCCCCCCCCAAAGTATACCTTCCGGACATTGGAAAAAAGACAGCCCTCGATGTAGCCCCAAGTCCTCTGCTCTCCATGAACCTCCTGAGGGCGACTGCAGCATGGCGAGCAGGGAGCCACGGGCTTCTTGATAAAAGCGTAAAATGAAACTCTGTCTGAAAGGACCCCCATCTGTTAGATTTGGAAAACATCTAAAGGCCGTTTGCTTTTCACAATGAGTAGACTCTTAGGAATGTATTCTAAGGAAAGGCAGAAGATATGGAGAAACAAATTCAACAAGAATATTCTTTGCAGCAATAGCCAGGGAGGAAGGGAGGGAGAGAGAAGAGAGGAAAAGGGGAACAGAGAAACAGGCAGACGAGACAGACAAGAGAAACAGAGAGAGAGAGAGCGCACCTAGCTCGTTTTCAACTTGACCTCCCGGGAGAATCTAGCAGGATCATAGAATCCTCAGCACACTCTTGTACTGGGGCAGCAAAGTTTCCCAAACTACAAGGTAACAAATGCTAAGACTGGAGAAGCTGTGCACGTTCTTTTCCAGCTCCTTTTTGCAGCATCAGCAGAATGGGGCAGGTTACTGCGTTCATTCTAAAAATCAAAACTGCAAGAGGAACCAGCTGCAGAGATGGGGGTGGGAAGGCAGATGTTCTCTTGCTGACTGAGCTCACACCCCGGAGAGCGCCAGCGCCTAACGCCGCCTCCACAGGTTCCACGGAGGACACAGGAGAGAGTGCGGCCATGTGAAGAGCAGCCTCACATTTCTATGGCTCCCTCTCTCTATGAGCTGTATCCCATGAGTCCTGCTCGCTCCCCTCGGTCCCGATGCCCTAGCCGTCAGCATCTCTGCCAATCTTCATGAAAGAGCCTGTTGCACCGCAGTCCAGCAGGGCCACAATATTCAGAATGAAAATTGTAATGATCACTCTTCTGACTGCAAAATCCCAAGAGTCAGAGAACTTCTCTCACTAAAGGAGAGGGGCGGGGCGGGGCGAGCTGGACAGAGAGAAGCTGCCCTGGCTGTTGGGTGCTGAAAACTGTGACACTGCCTGGCACCAGCGATGAGGGACTCACGCTCGACCCCAGAGGAGGCTCGTCCAGGAAGAATAACAAGGGGCCACCGTGGGTCTCCCCCAAGCTTCCAGCTGTCGGGAAATCTTATCCAATCACCCACCTTGCCATGCTACCTGCTCACCTGCATTCTGTAGAAGTAGTAACGCATCATTCACGTCCCAGCAGGCCAAGTGCGCAGGAAAATGGGGCCAAAAAGTAGAAAACCATGACCGTAGAAGGCAATGGCACGTGACTGAGCTTTCTGGGTTGTGCGTCCTTGTGGTGATAAACACAGTCCTGAGCTGAACACCAGAATGAAAACGAACCGTCCTCCGTGCTGAAGTCGGAAGAGGTGTACTTGGCTATCCGCAGTGCCTGCCTGTTTGGGTGGTGATTACTGCAGGTCACAGGTGCTGTACAGGAGGAGGGCAGTGAACTCTGGAGCCAGGCTGGCTGGGTGCAAGTCCCAGCTCCATGGCCAGCTCTGTGATCTGGGACAATTCACCTATGTCCTCCGCCTCTCGATTTCCTCCTCTGTAAAATGGGGGTAATAGTCGCATCTATCTGAAAGGGCTATGTGAGAATTAAACGACCTTGTAAATGTAAGGGGCTGAGAACAGTATCTGTTCTTGGTGAGCAGAAGGATGACCAGGAGGTGACCAGCAAAATACCCCTTTCGAAGCCTCAATACTGTTCCGTAGTGAGCAAAGACACAGCTCCTCTACGGACGAAGCCATTAATAGTCGATCCTGGCAGGCAGAGGGCAGATTCCTTCGAATCAGAAATTTGAACTCTGGCCAACGACTGCTGTACTGATTGAGTAAATCTTAGGATTTGTTGTTAATGGTAAAGTAGTCTACAAAAACAGAAACAGTCTGAAGGAGTTTGAGAGGGTGTGGGCTCAGCTGCAACCTCTCCTCCCAAGGCTGTTGGTCAACATCTCCAGCCCTGTGGAAAGACAGAAGCAGTGAAGAAAATGTCGGACAAACATTTGGTGTGTTTGTACACTTCTCCCAGAAATCCTAAATGCTTTGCATGTTTCAGCTAATAATTCATTAAAATGGATTATGCTGACCATTTTATAACCTACTTCACTGCTCTCCTGTCTAAATCCATCCCTTTGTGACAAATTTTTTACACTTGGCTCATTTTTTCAATTGTGTTTGCTGTCTTACCCCCATGTAAAGGATAAACGTGCATGTTTATGTTGATTTGACTGAGACAGCTAATGCTACATATGTCTCTGTTCCTTGAATGTTGACTTGTGATGGTGTCATTTAAGTCTCTTACTTCTTTTTCACCTTGAGTCAGCAAAATATTCCATGTTACTTTGAGCAAAACTTGCTCACTAGTGTTATGGAGGGTATAAAAGCAAATGGAATAAGTTTCCTGCCTTCAGGAGGATTGAAATCTCAAAGTCGGTATGACAGCATGGATGGGAGTCAGGTCAGTTTGCAGCTTTTAAAACATGTTGGAATCTTTCCTCTGCCACTTTTGATGGTGAGACCCTGAGCCAATCACTTCCACAAGCATCAGGCACTCCATCTATGACATGGAAGTAAAAAGAGCAATCTTGACAAAATTGTGATGACTACAGACATGTAGCTAACCTCTTATTTACCACCTCCCGATAGAAAATATTGTAACTCATCCCATTTGAGAGCTGGTGGTGATCACCCCATCCTGTGAGATTCAAGTATAATTATCTGGAATCCCCCATCTTCAGGTGAGGAAGACCTAGCAGCCCTCACAATGTCTTCTGGAAACTGGATTTTGTTTGAAGGGTGAACTGACTCCAAGTTTCTTCTGTTTTCACGTATTGTCCTTCCTACGTGTCTCCTGGGGTTTTTCCCTACCTCCCAATCTACATTAACCTGATGGTAACAGCCAGCTATGTTTTCTAGAATTCCCCTAAATTGACTCATGCCAAATACTGAATACAGTAGATTGGGAGGGTTCATTAAATCATGATAGAGCATCCTAAAGAAGGAAAGTAGACACCTTTGTTCTTAAAGGGTCTTCAGCCATCCCACCCCTGGAGAAGGTTGCTGATTGTCTCTTCTCCTCAGGCAGTCTTGTTACTATGCATCACTTTTTTTTTTTTTTTTTTTTTTGAGATGAAGTCTCGCTCTGTCACTCAGGCTGGAGTGCAGTGTCATGATCTTGGCTCACTGCAACCTCCATCTCCCAGGTTCAAGTGATTCTCCTGCCTCAGCCTCCCGAGTAGCTGGACTACAGGTATGTGCCACCACACCCAGCTAATTTTTGTATTTTTGGTAGAGACAGGGTTTCACAATATTGGTCAGACTGGTCTTGAACTCTTGACCTCGTGATTCATCCACGTTGGCTTCCCAATGTGCTGGGATTACAGGCGTGAGTCACCGCACCCGGCCTGCATCACTTTTTATGCCTCGTCTTCATCCTTACAGCTTCTCCTTCCTAGGGGCCTCAACTCCCAACCCCGGAGGTAAGGGTCACAACTGTCCATCTTCATGTAACACAGCTTAGTTCCCCTTCTTCTCCTCCCCACCGTGCCCTATGGGCTGCTTTTCTACAACCAGAATGGAGACCCAGGGAGAGCTGCTAAACTAAGACAGTTCTCACCCCTGGGAGAAAAATCTACTTCCCAGTTCTCAGTCCCGCTAAACTATTGTTGAGATAAAGAAGAACCATGATAAATCCTATTGGCTAAGAGAAGAACGTTCTCCAGGTTGCCGTAGGATAAGAGAGGAGGTGACAGAATCTGCAGCCATTTGGTAGAATATGTGATATGTGAGTCATTCTGAGGAATACGTTAAAATTCTGTAGTCAGATCTTGGAAAATGATATTTCCAGTAGAGGGAATAATGTAACAAAAAACTCAGGCAGAAAACAAATAAGTGTGTGTGGAGAAGAACAATAATGTGATGTGAATGAAGGGTTCGGTGTCATGAGTGAGAAATGGCTGACCGAAAGTAGGGAGATGCAGAGAGGAAAATACCACGGGAAGACTGAACATCATATTAAGTGATTTAGGTGATTCTGCCTGCAGTGCAAATATTTTGGGCTCTGAAGTGAAATCATCAAAAGGTTTACGTCTGTAATGGAGGATTGGTCTAGATAGCCTCTCGGATCCCACTCGGCTTTGAGATCCTTGATTCCGGGTCACACCTGCGGGTCTGGAGGGCAGTTCTGCAGGGTCATGAAGGAAGGATTCCAGGAGGCTGGAACACGAAGGACATTCAGGTGACCACATCAAGAGATCAAGTGGGGGTAACAAGAGCCTGAACTAAAAGGAATGCAGTGTAAATATGAAGAAGAAAGAGGAAATGGGAAACTGATTAGAAACGATAAGTAGAGAAAAAGGGGAACGTGTGATTCCAAGGTTTAGAACAGTATTTGTAAGTTATAGTCCCACAACTTCTCGCATAAACAGGATCTAAGAGAGTCATTTTAAAAAGAATAGCAAACTTCCAAGTTCCACTGAAAGACATCAGCATCTCTGTGGAGTGAATTGGGGAAAGAGAATGAAGAGGTCTGTTCAACTTTTAGACACACAAAATGTGAATTGAATTGCATGAGTGACAACAATGTGAAGATCTTTAGCAGGAGCTCTTTTTTCTCTTTTTGGCCTATGGTATTTAATCCTTCTATCATCATTATCGTCCTTTCTCTAATTTAATGTCTCTGAACCTTTATTCAAAAATCCACTATGTATGTGTAACATGTTTGTGAGATTATTACTAGACCCTCTAGGAGGTTTCATTAACCCGGTTTTGATAGTTCAGGTAAGTCCTCCACCGTTTTTTTTCCAAGTTGTCTTAGCTCTTTTGGGTTCTTTAAATTTCCGGACACATTTTGGAATCCGCTAGTTCATTTCTACTGAAAAAAAATAAATAAATAAAATCATGCTGGGATTTTGATTGGAATTGCATTAAACCTCTGATCCTCAAGGGCAGAACCAATATCTTAACAGTATTGAGCCTGCTGATCCATGAACACAGTATATCACTTCATTTATTTAGCTCTTTAATTTATCTCAGCATCACGGCCTGCTTTTCAGTGTATAGATCTTACACATCTTTTCTCAGATTTAGTCTGAAGGATTTCATGTTTTGATGTGCTATAAAAAATATTGCTTGGTAAATTTCCATTTCCAATTATTTCTTTGCCAGTGTGTAAAGAAATAAATATTGCTTATGTGTTTAGCTTGTGTCTTGCAAACTTTCCAAACTCACTTATTAGTACGTAATTTATTATTATTAGTTTTAGTGGCTTTTTGTGATTTCAGGAGATTTTCCACACAGGTGATCACGTCACCTGCAGATACAGATAGTTTTAAATCTTATTTTCTAATAAGCGTGTTCACAGAAAAATTGAGGGAAAGGTGCAGAGAGTCCTTCTATATGCCGCCTTCCCTTCCCCCACGTGCACAGCCTCCCCCACTAACAACACTCCTGCCCAGAAGGAGTATTTGCAATAATTGAAGAACCTACGCTGACATATTGTCACCCAGAGTCCACAGGTTACATGAGGGCTCCGTCTTGGTGCTGGTTCTATGGGTTTGAACAAATATGTCATGACATGTATCCACCGTGATAGCATCGTACAGAGCAGTTGCACTAAAATCCTAAAAATCTCCGTGTTTCACCTCCTCATCTCTCCCTCTTCCCAACACCTGGGAAGCACGGACATTTTCACTCCATAGTCTGGCCTTTTTCGGGATGTCCTTTAGTTGGAAGCTTACAGTATTTAGTCTTTTCCGAGGGGCCTCTTTTGTGTAGCCGTGCATGTTTAAAGTTCCTACGTGTCTTTTCATGGCTTGACAGCTCACTTCCCTTCAGTGCTAAAGAATATTCCATTGTTTGGATATATCACAGGTTATTTATCCACTCACCTAGTGAAGAACATTTTGGTTTCTTCGTTGCCTCCAAGTTTGAGCAATTATGAATAAAGCTGGAATAAAATTAGCAATTATGATTAAAGCTTCTATAAATGTCCATGTGCAGGTTTTTCTGTGAACACAAGTTTTCAACTCCTTTGGATAAATACCTAAGAGTGCAATTGCTGGAGCACATGTTAAGAGGATATCTCGTGCCCATCAATGATACACTGGATACACAAAATGTGGCACGTATATACCACGGAATACTATGCAACCATAAAAAAGAATGGGTTCCTGTCCTTTACAGGGACATGGATGAAGCTGGAAGCCATCATTCTCAGCAAACTAAAAGAGGAACAGAAAACCAAACACCACATGTTCTCACTCATAAGTGGGAGTTGAACAATGAGATCACATGGACACGGGGAGGGGAACGACACACACGGGGGCCTGTTGGGGGGTGGGGACAAGAGGAGGGATAGCATTAGGACAAATACTTCATGCAAGCAGGGCTTAAACCCTAGATGATGGGTGGACAGGTGCAGAAAACCACCATGGCACATGTATACCTATGTAACAGACCTGCACATGTATCCAAGAACTTAAAAATTTAAAAATAAAAAATAGGGAGTAGAGTTTGGTAAGACAATGTGATAATTTTACAAACACAAAACATGTCATACCCACTTCCCCACCTCCCTCAAGTGCTTTCAACAGCATCCTATTGCTGTTATTAAGAGAATAAAGCATCTACCATCATCTCCCAGCCCCTGCCTGCCTTCCTTCATTCTTGTCTTGTGCCACTTTCTCCCGTGTTTACTTCCTTGAACGTGCCTGTTTCCTGCTGCAAGAGGCATTCTGCACGCACCCCCATCTCTGTTTAGACCGTGCTGTCCCTACACTTCACCCCCCTCAACAATCAACCTCTACTTCTCTCCAGACTGCAAGGGGATCATACCTTCCAGAATGCATCGGTTTTCTACCTCTCATCCCAAGATACGCCAGATTCGTTTACAGCATAAATTTAGAGAATCCCGCTTCCCTTTCTTTGGTGTGCTTCTCTCAATTCTTCATCAGAAACCCATTAGAGTGATTGTCACATTAGTGCCCATTCTCCCCATCAGGCCGCAGGTTCGTGAGAGCAGGGGCCACGGTCATGTTGGTGAACCACAGTATTCTCAGTGACTATCCATGTGCTTAGAAAGTATTTGCTGAATGAGTAAATGGGTCTGCAGTTCCAACCAAAGCTAGAAGCTTGACTTTGGAAGAATGAAAGTAGATAACATCTCCAAAGCAGACCCCATAGCATGAGAAAAGAAGGGAAGAAGGGAAGAATGGAGGCAGAGCTGAAGGATGAATATCGGCACAGGAGTAGGTGAGAGTTCCAGAAATGCTGGGTTTTCACGTGTTTTTATTTACCTCCTATCTGTGTTTCCATCTCTGTGTAGCGTGACTCTCATATCCCTCTCAATTTCTACATTTCTTTACTGACAGGGACAGAGGTGGTGCATTGGACACACTACTAACCAGCATACTCTCTCGGACTTGCAAGAAAATGTAGAGAAAACAATGTAGAAATGATATCTCAGAAGAAAAAAATATCAAAAATATGAGAATAAATGTGGGAAAACAAAATCAATGTTGAAAGACAACTTCTCAACATATTTAGGTATCTCTGGGACCTAAAATGTCATCAGGACTCCCCACACTTCTTTTTTTTTACATTGCTCTGCGTGTGTGTGTGTGTGTGTGTGTGTGTGTGTGTGTATTCAACAGAAATCTACAAAAAAAAAAAAAGAATGCTATTGCTAGAATAATGCTACTACAGGGGAGAAAAATGTAATCTTTTCTTCCACCCATCTTAGCTTCATTGGCTGGGGTTCCTATAACAAAAGACAGATGAACCCCCAAAAAAGCAAACGGAGGCTTATTAGCATGTGTATTTCATATATACATGGGAGATACACAGGGAATGAGGGAATCTCAAAGAGACAGCTCAGACCTTTCTTTTATATAACATCTTCAACAAGGATAATAATGTTTATAGAAGTGCCAAGACAAAGTAAAAGGACTTTGGGTCATTGGGGGCAACAAATTGTGGGAAGGCCAATAAATGATAGATTTTTGTGTAAACTCCTCTGGTGCTGTTTCCTGAATGATAAGAGTCTGAAGTTGTGTACAGAGATTGACCTGCGTCCTTTCTGGCAGAGAGGGGAGAAAGGGCACCTTTGTCTTTGTATAATATGATTATGTTGTATGCTTTTCAGAAAATAGAGGGAAGGCCAGAGTGCTTAATTGCCTTCAGCTCAAAATATTTTAGCATGGCGTGTTGTATTCTCTGCACTGTTCCTGCTGCAGATATCTCCAAAGGCATCAGTCGCATCCACAGCACTACTTGTGGGGAAATATTGAGCAGAACTGGAATCAAATGTATAATTCAGCCCCACAGAGTCTCTGAGCCACAGGACAGAGTGAACTGCCCGGGAGTCAAAGCAGATACTTAACAGCTGACATTCTAAGAGTCTCCTTCCAGTAGATTGGCACAGAAACTCAAGTTCTTTTCACACATTTGTCTGTGTTTCTTTTGTGGAAAAAAACATAACCCTGTAGCTAAAATGTCTACTTCACAGTGCACGAAAACATCTAGAGCCTTAGCCAGAAGCAGCACAGACCCAGGCAGCCTGGTAATGTCTGGCGGGGGCAGCCCACAAAATCCATCAGCATGTGGCCCTGCGAGCCACCACCAGTAACATATGTTTACATGCTAATGATTGTCAGGCTCATTTAGAACAAATTTGCATCCATCAAAGTCAAACAGCGAGCAGAGCAGCACATTTTCCTGTGTGTCAGTGGCCCCTGAGATACCAGGGAGAACTTGAATTGCCTGACCCCCTTCAACTTCCAAGCATCCCAGAGGGAAAATGCAGACCCCAGGAAAGGACTGTGCTGGAAACCATTTGTTCTTACAGATGTCCGGAGTAGTCTTGTGACTGACCCAAAGACTCCCCTCTGAGGGTGGGGGAGACCTAGGTTAGGGGAGGGTGAACCGTGCTGCCTTCTAAGACCTTCCTTCTAAGGGAGGGTGGGGGAAACCCAGAATAGGTGGAGGTGAGCCATGTTGGCAGGACCTTCCTTCTAAGGGAGGGTGGGGAGACCTAGGGTACGTGGAGGTGAGCCATGCCAGCAAGACCTTCCTGCTAAGGGAAGGTGGGGAGACCTAGGGTAGGTGGAGGTGAGCCATACTGGCAGGACCTTCCTTCTAAGGGAGGGTGGGGGAGACCTAGAATAGGTGGAGGTGAGCCATGCTGGCAGGAGCTTCCCTCTAAGGGAGGGTGGGGGAGACCTAGAATAGGTGGAGGTGAGCCATGCTGGCAGGAGCTTCCCTCTAAGGGAGGGTGGGGGAGACCTAGGGTAGGTGGAGGTGAGCCGTGCGGGTAGGATCTTCCTTCTAAGGAGGATGAAGTGTGCTTTGCTAGACTCTACACTTGAGTCTCAGCTTGGCCGACCCAGATGGGAGCAACTCACTTCTATCCTATGATTCTGGGTGTCCTCATCTGTCATGGAAGGTTTGGTTAAATGAGCTTAAAGTCACTCCAGTTGCAAAGCTGTGTGACTTGTAGATACATGCCAGTGCGAATGACTCACTTCACTTTTACAAGTTGCACAGATAGCCAGGCTTCCCCTTGTATCAGTCAGGAGGTCCCAGAAGACTTTGTCACAGGCAAAGAGGTGATTAAAAGGAGTCACTGACGGGATTCTTTGGAGATCGGTGGGCAGGGCCCAAGGGAAGTGAGAATAGCTCTCCCCAGATCATGGGCAAGGGATGCCTGGGGAGGGGCTGCTAACGTGGACAGGCATGAGTAAGAGAGGACTGAGGACAGTTCCTCTCCCTCCTCCACCTTCTACCTGCTGCCAGCAACGAATCCAACCAGCAGCCCTAGGCCAGGCCAGGCTCCCAGAGTCAGAGCCAGGAAGAAGCCAGGCACATAGAGAAGCCACTGGTCCCCACCAACACCAAGGATGCAGTAAGAATTTTGATGGAAATATTTAAAAACTCATTCAACAACTTCCTATCTCCCCAACCAGCCTCTACATATGATTCCACCTTTTCCAACTCCTGAGCCATCTGCAGGGATGTCACAGGGGTGGGGCTGCCTGCTCTGCCCAGGGCTCGGGACCCTCCAACCTTCAGAGGTCTGGAGTCCCCTCTCCCCTCCCTGGCAGCAATTGTCTTCTCTGCTGTCAAATTATCACTTCCATCCTCCCACAACACATGAGAATTTAAGACAGGATTTTGGTGGGGACACAGCTAAACCATATCAAAGGGGGGGGCCCCCTCATGGGGCTCTGGCATGAGCTTGGGTGACACAGGTTATAAGACCCCATCTGCTTCAGGTTTAATTGCATACCCCAAGATTCCCAGGTTGTAGTCCTAACCAAGGACCTCAGAATGTGTCTGTATGTGGAGATAGGCCTTTTAAAGAGGTGATTAAGGTAACGAAGTCATTAGAACTGATGCCCTTGTAAGAAGAAGAGATCAGGACACAGACATCTATAGAGGGACAACCGCACGAGGACACAAGAGAAGATGCCATCTGACAGTCAAGGAGAGATGCCTTAGGAGGAGCCAGTCCTGAACTCACCTTGACCTTGGACCTCCAGACTCCAGAACTATGAGAAATACATCTCTGTCTTTTCACAAAACTGCCTGTGGCAGCCCAACCAGAGCCATGCGCCATCTTTGGTTCTCAGAAATTCCACTTGTTTTTATACTCCTGGATTTTAGGAGGCCCCTGGATGACCAGCATGTGGCTAAAGTTAGAGAAGGAGTTACCTGTGTAAGAGAGCCCCACACATCTCTGAGCGGACACCGTACAGCCCATGAGATATTGGGTGTAGTATCATCCTCTCTTCCCTAGGATATTAAGAACAATATCACAGGAGGGGTGTACAGCCACAGCCCCTGCGTTACTGGGAGCAATAGCATCTTCTCCCCCTCTCAATATAAGGAACAATATCCCAGGGTGGGGGTACATCCCCTGTGATATTGGGCGTAATGTCATCGTCTCTCAATGCGGATATTAAGTATAGTGTCACAGGGGGTGTATACCTTCTTTGCTATCGGGAATAATATCCTCTCCCCTCAGGACTGCATGCAAAATATCGAAGGGGTTTTACAACTCGTGCGATATGGGCAGCAATATCATCCTCTCCCCACCTAGATGTTAGGAACTCTATCACAGGCGGCCGTACATTTCTTGCGATATTGGGAGTCATATCATCCTCTCCCATCATGGATATTAAGAACAATATTACAATGGAGGTGTACACCCACGGCCATATTGAGAGTATTATGCTCTCCCCTTCGGGATATTAGGAACAATATCGCAGGAGGTGTGTACAACCCCTGCGATATTGAGAGTAATATCATCCTCTCCCCCTGAATATAAGAAACAATATCACAGGAGGATGTACACCCCCTGTGATATTGGGAGTCATATCATTTTCTCTCCCTCTGGATATTCGGAACAATATCACAGTGGGTGTGTACACCCTCTGCGATTTTGCCACTAGTATCATCGTCTCCCTCCCAGGATATAGGGAACCATATCACAAGGAGGTGTACACCCCCTGCGATATTGGGAGTGATATCGTCCTCTCCCTCCCTGGATATTAGGAACAATATCACTAGGGAGTGTACACCTTCTGCAATATGGAGACTAATATCATCCTCTCGCCCCCTGGATATTAGGAACCATATCATAGGGGTGGTGTACACCCCCTCTGAAATCAGAAGAAATATCATCCTCTCCACCTTTGGATGTTAGGGACAATATCACGGGGGAGGTCTATGCCCCCTGTGATATTGGGAGTCGTATCATCCTCTCCCACCCAGGATATAAGGAACAAGACGACCGAAGTGATGTACACCCACTGCCATAGTTTCAATAATGTCATCCTCTACCCCCTGGCTGTTAGGAATCACATCATAGAGGGGTGTACACTTTCTTCCATATTGGGAGTGATATCATCCTCTCCCCGCAGGATATCAGGAAGTCTATTAATTATTAATATTAATAAATATAAGAAAAATGAAGAGTAATCATCGATATTAATAATCACAGTAAAGATAGTAAAATACTAGTTAAAAATGTTAATGATTAGCATTAATCAATAGTAATATCACTATTAATAAAATGATGATATCAGCAATTAATGTTACTTAAATCAATACTAAGTGATGCTGGTAATAAGAATTAACATTAACAATTATTTTAAGCATGCATAATCGTATATTTAAAATAATTATCCATAATAATGGTATCCTATCAATAGTATCATTGATAATTGTTAATATCGATCATAGATGTTTAATAATTAATCATATTACTCCTAATACCGCAGGGGGTGTACAACTACACCTGTGATGTTGTTCCTAATATCCAGGGACAGAGAGCATGGAATGTTGTTCCTAATTATCAAGGAGGGGAGAGTGTAATATTACTCCCAATATGGCAGGGTATGCACATCCCCCCCAAGGCATTGTTCTTGCCATTCAAAATGAGAGAGAATGACATGACCCCAGATATCGAAGAAAGTGCAAACCCACGTATGATATTCTTTCTAATATCCAGAAAGGAAGAAGAGGATAGTAATCCTCATATGGCAGGAGGGGTACACTCACTCTGATATTTTTCCAAATATGCCGGGGGGAAAGAGGATAATTGCATTCTCAATATCGCACCAAGGGTTATACACCCCGTGTGAGATGGTCCTTCATGTTTCAAGGCGGGAGGGATGATATTATGACATATATGGCAGAAAGCGTACACTCCCCAGGGATATTGTTCCCATGATCCTGGAGGGAAGGGGATGATATTACTTTAAATATTACAGAAGGTGTACACGCCCCCAGTGATATTGTTTCTAATTTCCACGTGGGAGAGGAAGATATGACACCCAATAATGCAGGGAGTAGAAACAATCCTGGGATATTCTTCTTAACGTTCAGGGAGGAAGAGGATGATATTACTCCCAATACAGACGGGTGTACACCCTCTGACGGTGTACACACTGAGGGTATACAACCATCTGTGAAAGAGTTCATAATTTCCAGAGGGGGAGATGATATT